AATTGCATCAATGGTACATGAACATTACCAAGATTTCCGATCGATTGTCCCTCATGGTGAATGTCAAGGAGGATCATTACTACCATGAGAAAGCTGTGTCCGTTGAGTATTCTGAACTATTTCAGTTATACAATCAAGACGCACTCGACAAATCTATCGCCAGTTGCTATTGTCTGTAAGTGATTTCTTTCTGTAATTTAAGTCTCAAGCTAGCTGTAGTGATCCTTATCATTACCTATAATTATCCTCACTATATTCTTTTCTGTGGTATTATATGCAGGATGAAGATGTATGAAATGAGAAAAGGTGGATGCTATGGCATTGGGTTCATTGACCCAAACACCGTTAATGAATACACATGGAAAATAGATGAACGTCATCAAAAGGACGTAGAGGACAGCATGCTAGAGTTCTTGAAACGCCTCAAATACAATGAAGATATACTACTTCCTTACAACTTCCAGTGAGTCACACTGTCTTGTACTACAAATTCTTTGTTTTTGCCTACTAGCTAGCTACATGTTTTTGCTTACATATGCCCGCTTAATTAAGACATGCAAACGTGTGTGCATGCAGATTTCACTGGGTCTTGTGTATCATTAAAGTTGACGCCGGAACAGTTGAAATACTGGACTCACTACTCAAAGAAAAAACTGACTATAACATCTTGTTTGGGATAGTCAACAGGTAATTTCAATCATTATTAACTATATATCTCGGCCTATTTAGTTCGTCATTTCATGATATGAACCATTTAATAACCCCTTTATTCATTTTCTTTTTCGGTGGGCAGGGCTTGGGCAAGGTTCATCAGGGTTACGGACGGCGAATGGAAAGAAAAGCTTAAATGGGAAAGACCCAAGGTAAGTAATTAAGTAGTACTAGCTAGCTAGCTAGCTGCCATCTCTTTAATTATCATGCTTGATTAATTATTATCTGATCAAATTCCATTCTCGTAAAGGCCCTGAAGCAGGCGCAGGGGACTGATCTGTGTGCATTCTGCGTTTGCGAGAACATTCGCATGATGGCGTCCGAAAGGAGCAGATCTCAAAGACAGGAATGGGTACGCTTGTCAAAACATTATTCACAATTTTTACACCATTATCGATATCTAGTCACACAACTAATACACATGCATATTGATCTCCTTCTTAACAGTTCAGAGAGATGCGGGCGAAGCTCCTAGAAACGGAGCGCGTAGAAGCACTTCAAGAGGAAATAGCGGGATTTTTGCTCGACCAGGTTATAAATCCGAAGGGAGAATACTATTACCCGCTACCGCCCGAATGAAAACCACTTCCAATTGTCATCGTGCTCCGAAGGCCCCAATTAGGCTATAATGCAACTGGCTCCGAAGGCAACATGCACATGTAAGAAATTGTATATAGCTATACATGTGTGTATGTGTGAATTAATTAATATGATGGTTTGTGAGACATTGATGATATATATATGCATGATTGGTTCTACTAGAAATTCTATATATATATATATATGCATAACGTGTACAATGTGTAGTATCGTAAAATACCAGCAAACGAAAAAGAATTAAAATGGAAACACAAAATTAAATGAAAAAGAAATCATAAAACTAAAACCCCCCAAATCTTCTAGTACCGGTTGGTCTTACCAACCGGTACTAAAGGACTCCAGGCCCCTGGAGCTGACTCGTGCCACGTGGTTTCCCTTTAGCACCGGTTCGTGCTGAACCGGTACTAAAGGAGGGGGGGGGGGCTTTAGTGCCCACACTTTAGTGCCGGTTATGGAACCGGCACTAAAGGGCCTTACGAACCGGTGCTATTGCCCGGTTCTGCACTAGTGCTAGGGTACAGAAGTTGGATGATCTTGCATTGCCAGAGAAGTTTTTCTTAATTAATGACATGAGTTGTTTAAATGCTTTTGTCATTGTAGTCACTAATTTTGTGCAAATATTTTTTTTCTCAAAATAAGGATCAATTGACTCATCTAATCACAAGATCTTGACGCATCTCTCAGTTATTAAATAGAATGTCTTTTCTTTTCCTGAGGTAAAAATGTAGGATAGGTGCGTTAATGAATTTCTTGGCAACTAGAGAGGTAACCTCTCACTTGAGGGTGAAGGGATAGTCACCTACTCAGGTATTGATAAAGGACAATTGTTGTACTCCTCCGTTCCCAAATAATTGTTTTTCTAGCCATCTCAAATGGATTACAACATACAGATGTATGTAGACATGTTTTAGAGTGTAGATTCATTCATTTTGCTTCGTATGTAGTCACTTGTTGAAATATTTAGAAAGACAATTATTTAGGAACGGAGGGAGTAATTTAGAGTATAGTAAGTATTGATAAATTATTGGCATCACTGTTTATGTCTGTATGGCATCGGTAAGACGGTAAGCCTCATTGCTGGCTGGCTGGTTGCTATTGAGATCGCCGGCCACACCCTCATTTTCCTTCTCCTCGTTTTTTTCCTTCCTGCTCCCAGTTGTTTTCCCTCCTCCACAACTCCTTCCAATGGATCCGGTGGCGCATCAATTGGGTCCAACGGTAACACCATCCATTTCGAGTCAATGGGAAGTCGACCCGCATCACGTGTCTCACTGCTAGCTGTAGTAAACCAATGCACTGCCCCTGCTTTGCAAACACGGGAGATAAGTTTAACAACTGGCAAGACAAGATGTTGTGTTTCCAGATGCTTGCTTGCTTAAAAGACTTTTTTTTTAACTAAACCCCAAATGCACAGTTCTCTAAGCTTGCCAGTACCGATGCAAATGCATGCTGGAGCTAGCCATTACGGAACGGCAACCACTATCTGTGTACTCTGCACACTGACTAATTAACCCCTTTCAATCGACTGGGCGAAACAGAGCTCCAAGCGAGCATGGATTTCATATTTTTCTCCTTTCCCAATGTTACATCTAAGGCTTGACATAGCAGCCCAGGATCTATGCATGCTGGAACTACCCAGTATGAATTGCTGGCACTACCCAGTAAAAATAGAGGGTAGTGTTGAAACATAGCCTTCAAGGCTTCAACCATGCTTGAAATTCATAATATGATTTATTTTCTTCTACCGTGGATAACTAACATGGCAAGCTCTGCTTTTCAAATTTGCCCTGCACCTGTAGAGTGAGATTCGGCTGGGTTTCTTGTGCCCAGAATGGCCCTGCGCAAGTCATCAGAATAGCTAGCCACCTCAATGAACAAACAAGAAAGGTTTGCCCATCCCAGGCCAAGCTGCTCTCGAAGGACTGGAAGGAAGTCTTAAAGTGATGCCCCGTGGATAGATCTTGAAGGCATGCTGTTGGAATTAACCACGATGTATGTGGTGCTATGTTCGGCTTGGACACCGATAAAATCATCGAGTAGGATTAGAATTAGTACTAACAGAGTAGGTTAGGCTATTAGTCCTACTACTATATATACATGTGTATAGCCCCTGTACTTTGTACCGTGGTTTGTGAGATCAATAAAGCAAAACACCAGGCTCGAGACGGGCCTGTGGCAATCATCCAAATACTTGTGTGCGTGCGTTTGTTTCCGGCCGGCTGGCCGCCGTGCACGTACGGTGTGATTTTGGTGTTGCCTACGGAAAGATCGATCAGGAGCAGAGTAGCTAGTACAAGCTGGCTTTGCACTATGGTGTGTATCGACATAAAGCACTTCGTCGAGTTTTTCACCGAGCTTCGTTCTTCGTCGTCGTTTGTCGTCGGTCGTATCGCCGTCGCCTGAAGTACTCGATGTCGGGACTGGGCCAACACATGCATGTACAAATTTACTGCCAGCAACTTGCAGCAAATGGGCACTAGAAGAAAGTGACGAGCTGTAAATTTGCACATAGAACACAAGTGTAATCCTGCAAGTATAAAAATCTCCCGCTGCAACTCTTCTGAATTTTCCAACCTCGAGCAAAGGAGGAAATTGTACAGCAGTTCGCCTTGCCGGGAAATTTGCACACAGAACACAAGTGTAATCCTGCAAGTATAAAAATCTCCCGCTGCAACTCTTCTGAATTTTCCAACCTCAAGCAAAGGAGGAAATTGTACAGCAGTTCGCCTTTCGACAACTCTTCTGAATTTTTTGGGACTGGGGCTCCATGTTGTTTCACCTTGCCGGGAGATTATAGCATCTCGCTACATGTAATTTTGTCTTTCCCTCTGCTTTCCCTCCTCTAATACCCATGTACTCTCTGAGATATGTAACACCCTGACGGTTGGCAATAAAGGTTCAGGCAGGCGTAAGCCCGCCATTGACGCATCAAAAAAAATAAAAAAAATTATACAGCAGTTGTATAATTTTTTTTGAGGATCTGACATCTCAGTTGCGAAACAAAAAGATTTTGGTTGCACCAATGAGATGAGAGCTGCAAGTTCAGCCTCTTTTCTAGTGAAAACAAGGAAAGCTTAGCACCGCATAAATTCAGATCTGAGAGAGGTGTCATGATTTAGATGTGCAATAAAAGAACTATGTTTGAACATGTCTTGGGATACCGACACGGTTTAGACGGTGGCCTTTCGACAACTGATGGGGCGAGCTGCTCACCAAGAATAATCATTTAGTTCAGGACCAGACATTGCTGGTGGTACTGCCAGAGCCTAGATACACGTGATAAGTTGTACCAATGCACGTTGTACCATGTGCATATAGCACAGTCAAAACCTAGATCCATGAGATTAGCTGAATCAAAGGACATCGTACCATGTGCACTTGCTACATGCTTAGCTGTAGGGCTCCCCAAGAAACAAGTGGACAAAATATATGAGAATAGAGGACAAGTTTCTTTGATC